TATTTAACCTAAGGTTAAATCAAGACCACACTGTTGGAATACAATGTGTGTTCTGCTCTTTACATTTAGTTAAAGCTGTTTTTCCCCTCTACAGCAATGCCCTTTATCATCTCCATGCTGCTGGCCAGTCTGAACAGCTGCTGTAACCCCTGGATCTACATGTTTTTTGCTGGCCATCTCTTCCATGACCTTAAGCAGAACCTGCTTTGCTGTTCCACGCTCTATCTGAAGTCCTCACAATGCCGCTATGATCCGGAGCAAGATTCCCGTAAGAGCAACTCCTCCACCTACGTCATCAAAAGTACCAGCAGCCAGCGGAGTATCACCCAGACCTCCGTCACATAAACCAGATGTACCTCAAAACCTTTTGTTTGCTTCACAATTTGAAAGTCAGATGAAGGACAAGAAAGCTAAAATGTAAAGCCACACAAGACTGCAATGCAAGCTAAATGTCACACTCGGTTTCCTTCGGCTGTGTTTTCGTTTGGGAATCATTCAGAATGTCATTTTAATTACTCCACTTCTTTTCAACCCGTATTCTTATCTCTGAGGACATTGAGCATGCAGCAGTCTTCTGTTCCTTACCTTCATGTATTGTGTTTCTAAACATTACAGAGGGATCGTTGTTCGATTCTGACCGTGTTTATATCGCACGTCTTCATCGTTTGAATTGCTATCTAGTTGTGCATACACATTCCGTTTGGCCACACAAATGTGTCACACCAACATTTGCTGTGCTTGATGTAGCTCATGAAAGCAGGATGTGGGGGAATTAGCTCTGATGATTTTGGTACAAAACATAACAGCTGTTATGTGCCGCATAAAAGCTTCGTTCACTGACATAGATCTGTTTAGGAGGAGCAAAGTTTGCATACAGCTAGATGGATTTACACTTGGCCGATTCTCAAGCCACCATATCGGATTTCTGTCGGTCTTAAATGTGTCTTAGAGTGTCCAAGTGTAAATACCCCCGATGTGATGTAAACATGTAAAACCACTGAACCTTAAAGGAATAGTTCGCCCAAAAAGTTTTGAAAATAATTGTCATCTATTACTCAACCTTATGCTTATTCAGAAAAACACAGGAAAGAAAAGCAGTGAAAAGTAATAACATTTTCACTACTTGTTGTCAAAGATGAAGTTGACATACTTTGTACTGAAGACGACATCATTTCATGAGCTGTTTACACGACACCGTTTTCAACAAAAAATGTAAAACTTTTTATGTGTTTTGGCCGGTCAATTACGACGGCGTTTTGGGGGCCTGAAAATGCAAACTTTTGAAAACGGGATTCAAAGTGCAAGTTTTTGAAAATGATAGCGTTATCGTCTCCATGTAAACAACAAAAACGCGACTTTGTGAAAACGGTGACGTCATGCGCATGCGTATTACGTGTTCAGTCTATAGGCGCGTATTGTTTCTTTACAAAGTGACATCGCCGACTACTGGCCTGGCATGAATAATACAGTGTTTTTAGTCGTTTTCGCGGATCCGTGTAATCGGGGATCGTTTTGATAAGTTGTTGTCTGTAGACTACAGGAGGCGTTAAAAGGAAGCAACTGTCACTCGCTACACAAAACAGCTTACAGTACATGCAGATTTGAGAACAAGATGGGCTACTGAGAAATATGGCCAGTTTCTCATTTTTAACTTGATTTGTCCAAATAGATTTTTTTGTTAGTTTGTTTGTTTGTTTGTTTTAAGAACACAAGCACTTTTCATTCTTGGCACATACATGTTCTTGTTACCACTGTTCTTCATCATTTTACATGTAAACTTTACTGTCCAGCCTAGAGGACCACATCTCTTTGCCAAATGTTTCTGCAATGCATCATGGTAATCAAATATGACAAACACCCTATTTGTTTTTAAAAGTGAAGGACTGGTTGTTTACTCCACTTTTATGGTTGTTTGTCTTGTGTGAAAGAGTATTGTAATCAGTAAGATTAAAGTGTTTATTCCACTTACATATTTTGCTTAATATTGCTCTAAATACTTATGATTATGTTTGTTGCTCCATCTTTATAAAATATTTTGAAGAAAACCTGTTTAAGAGGACAAGGAAATTTTACATAATTGTTTACGAGTGCTGCAAGATGAGAAGGAAAGAGAAAATGATAAAAAATATATTTATTTTATACGTTTTAAATACTCTGTTCACTGAAACTATTGTTATTTTTCCCATTTAAAAAGCTACTGATTTTTCCTCCTAAAAAATATTATGCCTTTTTACATTTAATATGTGTAGCTGTAGATTTTATTTATTGAAATAAATTGTATGTGTTGATGTCTAACTGTGAGTAAATGTGTTGACAAGTGGAATATAAAAAATCCATCTAAAGTGAAGAGTTGAAAGCAAATTTATCACACTGTAAAATCATTAGCCGATATTTTTGACAGCTGTACACTTTCATAATTGTTAGTGGAAAGAGAAAAGTGTCTTATAAAATGTGAAATTACAAAAAGAATGAAACATTACATCATGAATTCATAGCATCAGTTTAAGTGACAAAATCATATCCAATGTCCTATTCGTTGACAAACAATGTTTGTTGAATGAATTAGGCAAACTGGTAATTTGCTTTACACAAATGAAGAAATGTTTTATTCTCATCAAAAACCCCATACACTCATTTTTTTTACCTATATAAAGCACAATTCAAACCATTATTGTTTAAAATGAAATGTTTAATTAGTACTTGTACAGAATACACCTGACATTATCATGATAAAAATACCACACTCAGCAATACCAATTTGAATCTGTCAAACTTAGAAACCCCATGATATCAGATAAGACTTATTCTCCATTGTCAGTCAGAGAGGCCTTTCATCATACATACAGTATGTCTCTCTGAACAAGCAGGTGGCCTAATTCTGAATTGCTCCCAAAGCCTCTTACATACACTGAGAACATAAAACAATGCATAGGGCACATGTGCATTTCTTTCATTTTTAGGGAACTTTTACCCAAAATCAGCTATTTGTAAAATAAAACATTTTCCTCCAAGGACCGAACATGTAAACCTTGACTTGTCTAGGAAATCTAAACCTCTTTGCGTAATGCCACCCGTACACTGCTGAAAACTTTCCCCAGAGCTTCGAAAAAGGGGTCACAGAAGGTGTGGATGCAGAGAGAGTAGATTCGACTCAGGCACTGGGTCTCGATCAGATAGCTCTTAATGCAGGGCATAACTGCCCAAATGTGACAGAAGGAGATGCAGGCAAAACAGAAGCCCCACAGCAGCGCCACTGGGATGCCAAAGATGGCGGACAGCACTCGGTAGCACCAGTACTTGGAGACGGTGAAGGTGGTGTAGCTGGCCTTCCACACTCCATCCATACTGTGGGTGCCATCGGGCTCGGCTATCACATCCTCAAAATCCACCTGGGATTATTGGGGGGGGGGGGGGGGGGGGGGGGGGGGGGGGCGGGGGGGGGGGGATATGGTAACATTACTGGTTAGTACAAATTTTCAAGAGCCAGAGATTTGCTGCCAAATATTAGCCTATTGAGCAATCAACAGTCAATGTAATCTGGCAGGCATTCGGCATGGGTTTGCTTCTGGTTGTGCTCCTAAAATGGATGATGATTAATTCTCCAAACAGCGACATTTGATACCAAAATCCCCCCATCAGTAGAAGGCAGCTTGTTTATTTTAGCTTCAATCTCATAACAACTATAGAGAGTAGAGGAACTATTTCAGTAAGGTATTTAAAATCTTTATGTAACCTCTATTTAAGAGCTGACAGAGAAATATCTATGCAGTAAATATGCTAAATGAAGCTTGGACACTAGCACGCAGTACTGACAACATTTGGAATTAAACTCTTGAATGAGAGGGAGATTATTGGACATAATGCATTAAAGATGCATTAAATTGATCAAAAGTGATAGTATGAACTATATTTCAGATAAATTCTGTTCTTTTAGACTTTCTGCATTCTGAAGGTGTATCAGTTTCTGAAACAATAAAAAAAACAATTTCAATATTGATTATAATATAAAATGTTTCTTGAGCACCAAATCAGCATCAGAATGAGTTCCGAAGGATCATGACTCCATATATAGATAGATAGATTGTTTATTACATAGTGAGAGGTACACAAAGTGTTGCTAATGACAACAGTGATCTTACACTCACAGTCAACAGTGAAAGAACACCATAGTGTAATTTTTACCATCCTGTATAAATTTATATACACGCATCAATAAATAGCACAATTTCCCCTACTAATCTAGTGAATTATTTAAACACATGGGAGCTACTGAAGAAGTCATACATGTTACTGTCTGACACACCCTTTTACCTCCTTCTATAAATACTTATAGTATGGCCTGTCCTGGCAGAAGTAGGTTTGGTGCTATTTTTGGGTCATGCCATGTAGCTGCATCATAAAGTGTAGTGCAGCTCACACACAAGCAAGTCTGTCTCTACGGACCAGATCAATCCACTCATATCAATTCCACCATTTAGGAAGTTAAAGAATATTGTGCATGCTTGATCAGTTTCTCAAAATGTATTTATAGCTATATGTACACATTTTTGTCAAATATATGCTTATAGTGCTATTTTGACTGAACAAAAAGGTAATATACTTTTTTTTTTTTTTTTTTTGCAAGCTATTCATTTCTGCAAATACTTCCCAAAACCAACACATTTTTTCTTTTCATTTAAATGGCATTTCAAATGAAATAGCAAAGTTTGAGTGTCAAATTTGTTAACACAAAATATTTTGTCAAACCAAAAACACACATACCTTCACAACGTCTTCATTGATCTGCTTTGGGTCCCTGTTGATCAAGTCAATCTCCTTGGTGTGACTATCCCTCAGGATTTTCTCCTCGTTGGTGTTATACTGGTCCGCCATATTGGGGGCCTCTGGCCCAAGACTGGTCAGAGCAGGATTTATGTATTACAGAAGTGTCCGAAAGGAAGGAGAGTAAAGCAAACTAAGTTATCGCCTGAAGGAAAAGTGTCGGAATGGCCCCACAGTCCCTAGTCCCAGTTAATTCTCCAATCTGTGGACTGACGACACGCCTGGAATGCGAGGGACAGCTGCACCGGCCAGGGCTCCTGTCTCTCTCTCTTGCTCACGCTGACTGTCTCACTCAGTACGTTACCCTCCTCTACCCCCACCCATAACCTATTCTGCCCCACACAGCCCATACGGCCCAGTCCATAACTCACACACTTGGTAAAAGCACCTCTTGAAGGGGAAACCAGTGGCCATGTCACATTTCACACACGGCTGCGGGGTCAGCCAGGCAGGAGTTGCACAGTGGCATGAATTTCCACTGTGAAGTGTTGCATTGAAAACTGATGCCATGAAAACTGATAACATCAGTGTTATTTCAGTATTGTTGAGAATGAGATGCTGTTTGTATTATTATTTTAAATAAGCTTTTATTTTTGCATATTCGATTTTCATTTTATTTATTTTTTGTCATTTTTGTCATTTTTTTTGTTTTAAATTAAGTCTATATAGTTTTTATTCATTTTAAATTCAGTTTCAGTTTTAGCTGAAATATTTTTTTATATATATATTTTCATTTATTTCAGCATTTATTTTAATTTATATGAAAATACAAATATAATAACCATGTTATGTTAAAATAATTTAACACATAATAACACGTAAAATAATATTTTAAAGCTTATATTCTCTCAAAATAAAACAATAAAACAAAACAAAATAAATAAAATAAATAAATGAAGAAGGTATTTTTTACTGCTAAAAGACAGAAATATTTTTATTACGTTCTGGGATTGAGATAAAAAGGTCTCTATAATGTCTTTGCGTGTCTGTGCATCACTTTGCATAATTTCATTGACATAAACAGCATAAAATTTGCAGCTGCCTTTTTTTTTATTATTTAATAACCACTAATTATGTAACAGTTTCAGCTTAATCCTGCAGTTGCTGTACATCACTTTTCATTATTATGTATATCTTTATAATGAATGACACTACTAGAAGGTTAAAAAAAGGATTTTTGAACATTCTTTGCTCAATGCACCAAAAATAGGAACAGGGAGCTTTAAATGTGCCGGAGGTGTGTGTGGAATGTCTTTCTGCTAATTAGAGAAATATTCTCAGTGTTCTGTGAGCTGTTATGGGCTTCAGATCCTGAGGGAGAGAAGAACAAAAATACCCCACCCAGACATGCCTGTGTCTACCGTTTATATCTGTGGGACTGTTTATAACAGCGGGGAGTGAACCAACCTCATCTTTACTTAAGATCCACAGGCTGCTCTACTCTTTACTACATAAACAAGCAGAAGAATATTCAAATGTGTGAGTTAAAATTAGAAGCCGGCTTCAAAACTCCAAAACTTCAAGCAATGGGTTTGCATATTAATACAGCAGCCGAAGCTTAGTAATCAGTACGGTTTTTAAACAAGTGATTTTCTAAGCAGATGAAACACGAGGAAGGAAGAGGATGAGATTATTCGCAAACTCTCCCATGGGCAGCTTTTGCTCTCATTCTTAAATGCTTGAAAAAAAAGTATTGTTGATGCTCATCTATCAGCTCTTCCAGCAATTTTGGTGTCCCAAGTGTCAGTGTGAACCAGGGATTTGCATCGGCTCAGCTTTACACATAAAATATCTCAAATGATGATGACTACTATTAAAAACCTGTCAAAGAAAGATGGGATCAATGCAAGCATCATTGGTATGCAAATGTGACTTTTCGAGACTGATTGTGTATCTGTTTAAAAAGGCCACCACAGAAAAAGACAATCGTCTTTTAGTTATGTAACTGTCAACCACAGCACACATTCTCACAATAACTTTCAACCCATTTTCACCCCATACAGAATATGTTGCGTATACATGCACTGTAAGAAAAAAATGATTATTTTAATGGTGAAAGATTCTAAAAATGTTACGGTAAAACCCTGTTAATTGGTTAACAGTAAGTTTCCTAGAGTACGGTGATTAACCGTATTGATCTAACATTGCATGAAATGAAATTTTACAGAAAAAAAACCTGTTAAATTTACAGTTTTTGGAAGTGGAAAAAAGCATGCTGCAATTGTTTGTCCTACATGAAACTAAAGAGACATACGTATACTGTATGTATTTATGTCATTTTCTGGAAACCTTTGCATTTAAAAGCTGATCCTGCTGTGTTCTGTAATGCAGTTCATATTTTTCCAAACTAATTCTGATGAATCCCCAGCACTTCCCAAAGCTTCTGAAAAAGGGGGAGCTTGCAGTGTCCAGCACATTTTGCCAGACCACCTTTATCCAGTGCAGGTTTATGACCAAGAGCTGCACACTGGGAACTATCAGCCTAAAAAGGAGAGAAGTATGTCATTATTAGCTTTCTGGTCTTCTTTTAGACTTCAGTCCAGATTTTTGACACAGCTGGCTACTGTATTGGAGTCAGATAAGCCTTTATGGCAAATGTATTGATTTACCTGACAAACCATGCAATTTTAAGTGCACTTGGCTATTATTTTTTTCTGGAAAAATGGTACAATATGTGATGTTCCACAAGGCTCTAATCCTGGACCCACATGTTTCAAATTTGCATTAACAGGGAATGTACTTTGTCTATGTTAAAGGACAGATGGAGGAATAGCAGTCACCTCATATGATCTAAGCTTCTGCCACAGATGTAAGTGTGTTATTGGTCTTGCACTTGAGCAAAACAGTGATTCTACTGTAATTAGAACACATAAAAAAAAAAAAAAAAAAAAAAAAACACCCCTATAAAAGCTGTTATAGATTATGTTTAATTTTTGACTGGCTTAAAAGGCAGGGGTGGAAATTTTACTATAGTAACTATTGATTAAATCACTGTGTTCATCAGTTATTTTCTGTGAACAACAACTTTTAAGGTTCAACACTAACATTCGGTTAATGTATTACGAGGTCATCATGATCTATACAAAAACCTATATTTTTACTCTATTAATAAGTTAATAGTACAGTATCAGTAAGTTAATTTATTTTTTAATAAAATGTTGAATGTTAACACTTATTCTTAATAATAACAATACAAATAATATATTTTAGTGTTAAAAATGAGTACATAGAGAACATAAGGTTAATAAATGGTGTTAAAAGTATTGTTGATTGCTAGTTCATCTGATTGCAGTTCTACTGTTATCAAAATGTTGACATTAATTCATGTTATAATAATGGTATAATTTATATACACTACCGTTCAAAAGTTTGGGGTCGGTACGATTTTAAATACTTTTAAAAGAATTATCTTCTGCTAACCATGGCTGCGCTTATTTGATTAAAAATACAACAAAAATCAGTTATAGTATTAAATATTATTCCAGTGTAAATCAGCTGTTTTCTGTGTGAATATATAGTAAAGTGTAATTTATTCCTGTGATCAAAGCTGAATTTTCAGCATCACCAGTGTCAGTGTCTTCAGTGTCAAATGATCCTTCACAAATCAGTATAATATGAGGATTTGATGCTCAAGAAACATTTATTATTATTATCAATGTTGAAACAGTTGTTGGTCTGTCAGTTGTACAGTTTTTTTTTTTTTTTTTAGGATTCTTTGATGAATAGGAAGTTCAAAAGAACAGCATTTGTTTGAAATAGAATCTTTTGTAACATTATAAATGTCTTTACTGTCCTTGATAAATAAAAGTATTGATTTCTTTCCTCCAAAAAATAAAAATAAAATTCTCACTGACCCCAAACTTTTGAACGGTAGTGTATATTTATAAAATATTGTCAGATCCAAACTAATATAGGCCTACTAATATTAACCCTTAATTATTATGCAGATGTTTTTGCTTTATGGGAATTTATTGTTCACTCACTCGTGACTCGCCAAATATGTAGACAGCTGAGGACAGCAAAGGGAACACCTGCAGCCAAAGCAGCAGGGAAACAATGCGGTAAAACCAGAGTCTGGACACCTCAAACAGAGCATGAGCCCACAGACACACTTATCAAAACTGCTCACTGAGGCTCTGCTATCACATCCTCGAAGCTCACCTGAGTGGACAGATACATACATCATGAGGGGAACTATTTTAGATCTATAACTCATCCCAAACATCTAACTGATAACTGATTACTCTGAGTAAATTAGAATCCGTGTATGTGTATTTGTCTTTGAAAGTCCTGCAATACCAATGTCTAACATACGAGGGCAGCGTAGCATTACAAACGAAGTAGCGCCCACTATGGTGTTGATGTAAGACAGCAAAACTGAAGTACATTCAGGTAAGGGTCAGCTATAATTAAGATAGATTTTAATTGGAAAATTAAACTATGTTTCTAGGACATTTATGAATAATACTAGAATATAGGCCCACAAGTTGTCCCATTTATGTTGACATCGAGCCTGAGTCTTACAAAATGTTGTACAAAAGTCATGCAATGTTCTTCACTCACGCATGCGCACAGACTTTTTTTAATTTTGTCAGTTCATCAGAATATCAACATTTGTGAGATGTAGTCAGTCGAAACAGTTTTGAGGTTTGATCTAATTTTGTGTCTTTGGAAAATAGTGATTTATGACATTGTATTATGTTGAATATCACAGGTTTTTTAACCGCTAATAACATCTACATAAAAGCAGTCTCTATTTGACCCACCCGAGTTCAAGCCAAGGTTGTCAGATCTGCAGTTCCCTTTCAAGGCGGTCACTTCGACATTACGTCATACTGACGTATATGGGAACTCCTCCCTTCTCCATTTTCACTGAAATCTTATAGGTTAACGCCAGCTGGAGACAGCTGGCCAATTGACGCAAAACATGCAAATGCTGACCGGTCCGCGGGCAGTATAAATAGCATGGGCGCGACAATTACGTCAGAATCTCTTTCTTCACGCTAGAAGTCTTATCTGAAGTCATCGTGGAAGTTGCAATAGAGGTTACTCACCATGTTTCCTCCCCGCATCCGATGGCTGCTACATGCCAGATATGTGCGGTATTGACTCGCTCTACCCAAACAAGGATCTACCGAGGCCGCACTCACGGACGACTGGCATACGTGCTGGTCTACCAGTGCGCGCCCTCACAAACTCCGGGCATCAGCAGGGATGAGGCCCACTGCCGCCAGCGGCCGCTGGTGGGCCCTCTCACGCCCAAAGAAGAGTTGACAGTCGTTCTCCCCTGTGGCCCAGTGGCGGAACCTGAAGCCTTCGCGCGAGAGACCCGTGTTCGATCCCGGCTCTCGCAGCAGATACATTTTAACCTGCCCGTCGCCTCTCCGGTCCTTTTCGCGGGCTCGCTAGACGGACTCGACGCGATAGGCTTCGTCGGAAAGGATACTTTTATTATTTTACTTAGCCCGGTATCTAACAGCCAGGCTACTTCAAGAAAGATTCCGTCTTCACGACGTCCTATGGTAAGTCATGCGAAGACGCATCCAGAGAGACGAGGCAAGGCGATGGCTCTGTGTCTGAAGGCGCTAAAGTGGTTGTTTCCCCCTGTGGCTCAGTGGCGAACCTCAAAGCCGTCGCACGGGAGACCCGTGTTCGATCCCAGCTCTCACAGCAGATAAAATTTAGTCTCGCCGCGGCCAGACATTAAACCGAAACTTTTGATCTCTATACGTCCAGCCTTCCTCGATGTCTCTCTTCGTCGGCACCTCGTCCCGCCTAATTCGGCTACAGCCGCCAAAACGGTTCGAACCCGAAACGAACCGGATCTTCACCGTTGGCAGAGGGCGGGACCGGGAATGTGGCGACACAGGCCACGGAGAGCGCCGCGTCAGGACGCCCCGCTCTGGTAATGGAGGTGCACAGCTTACAGCTTATGTCGTCAGGCTGCCCTGTATCCTTCAGTGCAACTGGCCATTCTGATTTAACCACGTATCCACAGTTGTTGTCGCTACGCCACTGACGCTGTGTTTATGTTCAGACTACACACTGATATGTGCTATGATTTGTGCCGTCATATATTGCCCTGTTTCTTTCAGTGCGAATGGCTATTCTGATTACCACGTATCCACAGTTGTTGTCGCTATGCCACTGACGCTGTTTATGTACACACTGCACACTGATATGTGCTATGGTTTAACTGTTATATCCTTATATATTGCCCTGTATCCCTCAGTGCAACTGGCTATTCTATTAACCACGTAATCACAGTTGTTGTCGCTACGCCACTGACGCTGTGTTTATGTACACACTGCACACTGATATGTGCTATGGTTTAACTGTTATGCCCTTATATATTGCCCTGTATCCCTCAGTGCAACTGGCCATTCTGATTTAACCACGTAATCACAGTTGTTGTCGCTACGCCACTGACGCTGTGTTTATGTACACACTGCACACTGATTTGTGCTATGATTTAACTGTTATGCCCTTATATATTGCCCTGTATCCCTCAGTGCAACTGGCCATTCTGATTTAACCACGTAATCACAGTTGTTGTCGCTACGCCACTGACGCTGTGTTTGTTCACACTGCACACTGATATGTGCTAAGATTTGCGCCGTTATATGCTGCCCTGTTTCTTCAGTGCAAATGGCTATTCTGATTACCACGTATTCACAGTTGTTGTGCGATGAAATGACGCTGTGTTTACGTGCACTCTACACACTGATATGTGTTCATGATTCATGCCGCTATAAATTGCCCTGTATCCTTCAGTGCAACTGGCTATTCTGATTCACAGTTGTGCGATGCCACTGACGCTGTATGTACACTGATATGTGTGTGTTATGCTTATGCCACGATATTGCCCTGTACCCTTCAGTGCAACTGGCTATTCTGATTACTACGTACGTATTCACAGTTGTTGCGTTGCAACGGACGCTGTGTTACGTACACACTACGCACTGTTATGTGTATGATTGATGCCATTATATATTGCCCTGTTCCTTATCCTTCAGTGCAAATGGCTATTCCGATTACTACGTATTCACAGTCTTGCGATGCAACTGACGCTGTGTTACGTACACACCGTACACTGCGTTATGAATTTTGCCGTTGTTGCCCTGAATCCTTCAGTGCAAATGGCTATTCTGATTACTACGTATTCACAGTTGTTGTGCGATGCAACTGACGCTGTGTTACGTACACACTACACAGCGTTATGTGTTGGGATTTATGCCATTATATATTGCCCTGTAATTTTCAGTGCAAATGGCTATTCTGATTACTATGCAGTACGTATTCACAGTTGTTGTGCGATGCAACTGACGCTGTGTTTATGTACACACTACACACTATGTGTTATGAATTTTGCCTTTGTATTTTGCCCTGTATCCTTCAGTGCAAATAACTATTCTGATTACTACGTATTCACAGTGTGGTGCGATGCAACTGACACTGTGTTACGTACATACAACTCACTGTTATGTGTAATGATTTATGCCATTATATATTGCCCTGTGTCCTTCAGTGCAAATGGCTATTCTGATTACTACGCAGTGCATATTCACAGTTGTCGTGTGATGCAACTGACGCCGTGTCTATGTACACTCTACACACTGTATGTGTTATGATTTATGCCGTTGTACATTGCCCTGTATCCTTCAGTGCAAATGGCTAATCTGATTACGTACACAGTTGTTGTGCGGTGCAACTGACGCTGTGTACACGCTACGCACTGATGTGCTATGTTTACGCCGCTAAATATTGCCCTGTATCATCAGTGCAACCGGCTATTCTGACTTACTATGCATTCACAGTCGATGTCGCGATGCCTCTGACGCTGTGTTTTTGTACACACTAATGTGACTATGCTATCGCGTTGCCCTGTATCCTTCAGTGCACCTAGCTATCCTATCTAACTGTGCATAGTCACAGTTTGTCGCTACAGCGACTTGCGCTGCATCTGTGTCCACACTGAAGCGTTATGCAGTTATGTTGCTAACGTAACTGACCATTATGTGAACTGTGCATATTCATGCAGTCTCGGTCGCTTCGTCGACTTGCACCGCATTATACACTCAGATGTTTGATATGTGCACACTGATGGGTAATGCTGTTATGTTGCCCTCTATCCTTCAGTGCAACATCCAGCTATCCTATCTAACTGCATATTCAGTTCTGTCGCTATGGCGACTACACGGCACGTACAAGGACGTGTTTTTGCTATTTTGTTGCCCTGTTTCCTTCAGTGCAAAACTAGCTATCCTAATCTAACCGTGCATATTCACAGTTCTGGATGTATGTACGTAAACGGATGTGTTATGCTGTATAGCTGCCCTGTTTCCTTCAGTGCTGCTAGCCATCCTAATCTAACTATGCATCTTAGTTTCTGTCTCTACACAGTTTCTGTTGCTACAGCGACTTACGCTGTGTTATGTACATGCAAGGATGCGCTATTCCTTACTCACTTGTGTTATGCTGCCATGTTGCCCTGTATTTCAGTGCAACCAGCTATCCCAGTCAAACTGTGCATATTCACAGTCTCCGTCGATACGGCGACAGGCGCTGCATTTATTTACAAATGGATGTGTTCATGCAGCGGTGTTGCCCCGTATCCTTCAGCCTAATACGGAGCTAACTGCGACCTATGCTGTACGTGCATGTGCTACGCTGTTATATTGCCCCGTTCCTATCAGGGCAACTGGTTATTCTGTGCAAACTCATATATTCACAGTTGTAGCTACAGTTATGACTGTGTTTGTTTGCTTACTGAGGTGCTATGCTATTATGGGGCTATTTTCTAACTGCGTATATTCACAGTTGTCGTCGCTACGGCCACTGGCACTGTGTTTATGTACATTCAGTTATGTGTTGATTTGCACTTCTGTACATTGGCTATAGAACATCGGCTATGTTCTACAAGGTGGCACCCCAGCCCCAAGCTGTGGAACCTTCTTGTGTGTCCGTTGCTGGGTCCTTAGTTGAGCAAGACACTTCACACTGACAAGTGCTGAGACGGAGCTCTCCCTAAGATGGCCTTACCACCGGCTCTCGCCCCAGCGAAGGACTTGGAGACTTACGCTCATTCTAGTGAATGTTGTCGCATTGTCTCGGACCTGATGACTGCAGCGTCACTCTCAGTCCGATACCAAGCTACGTTCCGAAGTCGCGTACACCGTTCAGAGCACAGGTTGATCCCTGCCCGCCTTATCTGCTGAGTTTCAGCCTCGCATGATGCCGATGCTCAGAGTGATGTTGGCCCTGTGAGGGATTTGTGGATGTACGTGGATCACTTGGCAGCAGTCTACCAGCTGTTTGTGTGCTTGGTGGATGGTACTAGGGACGTGCTGTTTTATACAGAGACTTCTCTCTGAATTCGATGCTTTAAATGGTTGCTTAATGCCTACGGGATTTAGGTATGCTGGCTGTCTTCTCAGAAAACATTCGCCAGGGTTCCAAGTTTGATGCACCACCTTAGCGTCGTGGGTTCGGTGAGTTTTATCAATGTACTCATGAAACTGTGACCACCAGCTGTGCAGTAGTCTGTATTGCAGAGTTACCATTGCTGCTAACTCTGTGTTATGACTATAAGGTTACATAGCTGTTTCCACATTACGCAGTAGTTCCAACGTACTGTTAACTCTGTGTGTGGCTTAAGGTTATGCAGCTGTCACCGCTATGCCGTCGACACTGTGTTAGCTCTTGTGCTCGAGTGCTTATGGTGTTCTGCTGCCCTGTCCAGTGCAGCCTTCGCCTCATTGCAGTGGATGCGCAACTTGGTAAGCCGGAGCAGACGTTGGTCTAGTTTCGCCTATCAGTTTTGAGTGCTCCTAGCGGCGCTGCTGGCTTAGAACTGTTGTTCCTGTGGGAGTGTAGCTTGACCCCGTTCAGGGCTTATCTTCACTGCGCTCACGGCGGGATTCTATACAGTTCCCATATACGTCAGTATGACGTAATGTCGAAGTGACCGCCTTGAAAGGGAACGTCTCCGGTTACTATCGTAACCTCGGTTCCCTGAGAGGCGGGAACGAGACATTACGTCAACCGCCGTGCTCGCCGTTTGATCAGCTGTGCTAGCGTTCAGTCTTGATTCTGACGTAATTGTCGCGCCCATGCTATTTATACTGCCCGCGGACCGGTCAGCATTTGCATGTTTTGCGTCAATTGGCCAGCTGTCTCCAGCTGGCGTTAACCTATAAGATTTCAGTGAAAATGGAGAAGGGAGGAGTTCCCATATACGTCAGTATGACGTAATGTCTCGTTCCCGCCTCTCAGGGAACCGAGGTTACGATAGTAACCGGAGACGTTTTTCCCTATAGCCTACTAAACATTATTTGTAGCTCTCCTCTCTCCCAATAATCGCAAATAGCTCTGTGCTTTTTGTTACTTCTCAAAAGAAACAAAGTGTCATCTTTCAAATTCTGTCCATTTTATCACGAAATTCAAAACAATAAAATGGCGTTTTGACGCCCTTAAATGTGACGTGACAGATGCGAGTCTATCCACTTTAATACAAATTATACCTAGAAAAACATGCATGAATATCAGAAGGTAAGTTGAAAGTTACAGTAGGCCTACAACTTACCGCAATCCGTATCATGTCTCATGTTATCACTCAGTGTTTCGACCGTGGAAAAAACTACCTTATGTGTAACCAAAGTGTAACTGAGTTATGCAAACATTTCAGCTTTTATTTGAGTGTAAATATTAGGCTATATCTGAAAATAAATAGCAGTTGAATATAATAGCTCTGTTGTTAATTTTAACCTCTAATATTAGGGTTCTCTGTATAGTTTGCAGCATTAGTTGGGAGAGATTTTTTATATTTATATTTATATTTTTTTTATATATATATATATATATATTAGATTTTATATATATATATATTAGAGATGCACCGATATGAAATTTCTCAGCCGATACCCGATTGTTCAGAATGATATCGCCGATGCCGATATCGCCACAGCCACAGTCTATATGAGTATATATATGGCTGTATATATATATATACTGTGTCTAAACAGATTTAAAAATAAAACAAAAAAAGGTCTAAATGGGACTGTTGCCACCATTTATATATATATATATATATATATATATATATATATATATATATATATATATATATATATATATATATATATAAATGTCTGTTAGCCCAATAAGCCCAGCAGGCCATTAGTCTGCACTGTGTTGATTGTATGACTCACCTTAAGACACTTGTTGATTCCCTTTGGGTCCCTGTCCTTGATGAGAGCCTTTGTGTTCCTGTTTGTGCTTCGGTAACACCAGGAGCATCATTTGGATTAATTTCACGCTGATCCAAGAGTGAAGACACCTCCTCCTCCTCCTCCTCAGTTATCTCTATTTGTCCTTTGTGATGTCCTTTAGGTCCATTGTGTGCAGTATGTGTGTGTTTGTGTGTGATTGTCTTAAAGGCTTCCTGTGGACATACTGAGAACAACAAGGTCACAAAGTGTCTTCCCAATAAGAGATGGAGTCACTAGCAGCAAGATGGGACATAGCGGAAATATTTGTGCAGTCTCATCACAAATAGCTTTCCTAGAGGACAACTGACATAAAATAGAAAATGATTTACTTTTTTGGCAGAGGTTAGTTAATTGACATTGGCTGAAATGGTGGAATGGGTTAGAAAGGAAAGTTGGATGGGTAAATATTTTCCACTGATTGAGTTTGGACTTAAATTGAACTTAAATAACATGAAATTCATTGCATGCATTGTATTTCTATAAATATGCAATACATTTATAATTACTAACGGTAAATATATTATACAGTACATCTATTATATATCTCTACTATCTTGAACCCCAACATATTTTTGTACTTTTTTTTTGCTTGAAAAGTGACTGGAAGTAAATGCTGTCCAATTTGATAATTTTTTTATCCCATGCAATGAAAGTGTTGATTACGTGTCTAAATACTTTTTTTTTCATCCATGGTGTGACTGGAGACAGACACATTGGAATTAACATTGACACCAAAAACAAATGAAGGGAGGTGCACTGAAGAAAAGTGTGAAGGACAGGGGAAGTGAAAGGGCACTGTCTACAAAATGAGGAGCGTTGTAAAGGTCAGGCCACTGGAGGAGCCATGAAGGTCAGCAGTGGTCATGAACCTTGAGGAAAATATATCTGTAATTCTGTATAATGATAGTTTTTAAGTGGAAGTTAAAAAAAAGTGTATCTCTTAAACACAGATTATTCTATGTTCACTTTACTGTTATATTCACCCTTAAAACATCAAAGAATGGGTGAAGATTGTGAAGAAAAACATGAAGATCTTCATCAGGGTCAATGACCGTCTATGCAATACCATTTCCATAGGTCATTGACACCATTGACCTTATTGACCTTGAGGAGAAGTGTTACTGAAATGATATTTTATATAGCTATATAGCAATGATTTTCATTTAAATTATTATTTAAAAAAAGACTCAACACCAGTGAAAATGTCATATATATATATATATATATATATATATATATATATATATATATAATACTACATCCCAGAAAGGCCATGAGTGTCAAGGTAATATATACTTGCCTGCAATTCTTTGAGATAAAAAAGTTTTAATAAAACAAAAACTCATGCATATTTTACCTTTTGCCTATGAAACCTCAACTTTGAAATATGTATGATCAAACTAAGACATTTATGGAAAAAGACTATTTTCTTTTCAAGATGTTTCCAACTCTAACTTTGAACTGAAATAAAACCATGTCTATATGGTGAAGGGTGTGTGATAGAAGTGTCCAGACGTATGCACCCTGTATTTTCCTTATATAAATCCAAACAATCTAAAAGCCATTCTTTTTTTAAATCTCCTCATTCCTTGTGCAAGGCTCCTGTAATGATATGGCCTGATAGCACCTAATAGGGCCATTGTGGGGAGGGTCTTTGTCTTTCTCAGGTGTGAAATGCCACACATATTAATGAGAGATCACGCCTCCTCGCATAAAGCTTTCTCAAACAAAACACGTCATTAAAAATGTAAAATACTTTATTGACTTATCTGAATGAGTAGTCAGGATGATTCTCACAATTTTGGAGCAAATATTCTAGACTATGTGATACAATTTTCAAAAGTCTTGTAAAGAAATAATCAATATGTGTTATGTGGTCTTATTTCAGCAACTTTCATTTTTATTTTTTTCAATAACCACGCATAAACATTATTCTCTTAAAAATACAAACATGTACATACATGTTGCTCACTCATCATGGTAGTCCCGTCTATGCTATATAGAGTGAATTTACACCTTTGCCATTAACATGTTTATAAATAACTGAAGAAAGCACAAATGTCAGTGCATGTCAAAACATCCCAAGGGCCCCAAAAACACTCTGGTCCCTCCCCAGAGGGTTAAACGCCTCAGATGTAAAGTTATTCGCTGTCAAAGTGACGCCAAAATGAATGGGAGTCAATGGAAATGCTAACGCAAGTGAAGTTCTGCTACAAGATGGCAGCACCCGGCCGGCTTCAACTTCCGGTCGATGGATTACCCCCTTGAGCATGGGTCACCAAACTAAGGCCCGCGGGCCGACTCAGGCCCGCCACCCCCCTTTGACTGGCCCCCCAGCCCCTCTGCCCCCCACTACTGGAACCGGCCCTATGAGGCAATCCCCAAAAGTCGCCATGGCCTATTTTTTTAATTGCTTTTTGGAAAATAATAAAATGTCTGCATCTGGTATTTTGTTGATTTTTTCAGTTAAAAAAAAATATTTAGTTATAAAATTAACTATATTTGCCGAATTTTCATCACCCGTCATGCTCGAGATCAAGCAGTGACAGACAACGCACGCGCAGAGTACTGTCAGTGTTCAGGACAGCAAAATGTCTTGCGTTAAACGAAAAGTTGATAGAGAGTGAAGAGTTTTCAAAGAACAGTGGACCAACGATTATTGTTTTGTTCAGTGTAAGGACCGTGCAGTTTGTATTATATGTAAAGAAAGTGTGGCGGTTTTCAAAGAATATGTGCCAGGCTAGTAATCTCTACTACACAATGAGGCCTGCTGGTGGTCATTTTTGTCTGGGTCATACAATTCTATGTTATATAGCTGACCCGGCCCCCCATCACAGTCAGGAACGATAATGTGGCCCCCAGAGAAAAAAGTTTGGTGACCCCTGCCCTTGAGCATAACACAGACGCAACAAATCATGGAATTACGACATCTAAATATGTCTGTGTCCCAGGGCCGGCCCGTGGCATAGGCGGTATAGGCAAATGCTAAGGGCGCCACCACTCAATAGGGGCGCCAAAATGAGTGAACGAGTGAATTTTTTTTTTCGAAAATTTTTTTTTTACTAATACTATTTTAAAACCATTACTTCGAAATACTACAAAATAACAAAATAACCCCCAAAATGTATTTGCCAAAATTATTAACGATATTTATAGGCTACAGGTTTAGTATGTTTTATGTAAAATTCACATTAAAGAAGACATTTCGCAGTTTCATTCATGTTGAATACACAAACCGTGCCATAATTTAGTGGAAGATTGCTGCCATCAACTCCCAAACAAACACTTTTGCTAGTGCTCAATGAATAGTTTGTGCATGAATGACATTTGGACGATGACATCACTGTTTTATCCAGAGTGGCTATATATAAATTAGATATTTTTTTTATTTTTTTTTACAACAAAATAAGCCATCACTGAACATACTTAAGCTTGATTATGACACTATTTTCTTCTAGATCTGCTGTACAGGAGAAGCAAACTTTGTTGCATTATTTTCCTGTTATCACTGTAAAGCTGCCTTGAAATAGTCTGTATTGTAGGCTAAAAAGCGCTGTATAAAAATAAAGGGGACTTGACTTGAATGCTAGATGTAATGCTCTTGCTATATATATATATATATATATATATATATATATGACTAAATAATCACCAACACAATGATGGGGTGAAATGGGCTGTAATGCATGGGGCACCAGGTAAAATCTTACCTAGGGCAGCAAATTGGTCAGGGCCGGCCCTGCTGTGTCCTACACAATAATTTCATCGAAATGCATATATAATGACATGTTTGTGCAGGCCCCAGTGAAGTGTAATTAAAAAAAGGCAGAGAGAGAGAGAAAAGTCGTGAATTAAAATAAATTAAATCAATACCCTAATGAAAACCTCACTTGCGTAATAATGAAAAACAACACTTGCATTAACACTTGCTTGGTTAATTGACATCCTAGTAGCCTAAATAGACTACTTAAAGCAAGGAAATGTTGCTCTTATTGAAGTAATGTAATAGTTGAATGACAGTGGATTATGAAGTCGCCAAAACGTAAAAGAAAGCCCAACTGGACGCAGGATCAGTTACTGCTGCTGGCCGAGTTGGTGCTGAACAACAACAACAACAAAAAAACATAATAAAACGACTCGGTTACTAACGTAACCTCGGTTCCCTGAGAGGAGGGAACGAGTATTGCGTAAGCTTACGCTATGGGAAAACTCCTTTTCTCGAGAAATATTGAAGTCTTTATGTAAAACGCTTTGCAGCTGCACAGCATACAGCAATGAGCGAGGCAGCTCGGTCATTGGCTGTGCTGCGGCAACTTGCACGAACCAATGAAGGGGCGACTCTGAACCCGCTTCCAATGAGCGTGCTTCGCGCCCACGCGCGTCAGAGCCCGCCAAGATGGGCGTGGCTAAGGGCTATATATTGGGCGCCCCGTCGTCTGAGTTCTTTAGGTTCAATCGACTGAAGCAAACTGACCAAGCACAAGCACGGCAGATTACGCAATACTCGTTCCCTCCTCTCAGGGAACCGAGGTTACGTCAGTAACCGAGTCGTTCCCTTTCGAGAGGTTCCTCTTATTGCGTAAGCTTACGCTATGGGAACGCCATGTAAAACGCCGTGCGTGCTGACTTCGCTTCTATTAAGCCGGAGGCCGGTGCCTGAGCCTTTGAGCGAAGTAATTATCCAACGAGCCAGCCGAAGGCGGGCTTTATAAAAGGACAACGTGGAACGGCCCGATGGGCGTCCAGAGACACACACAAGCACATTTTTATGTACTGTCATGTATGAAAAATCCTCCACATCAGTTTCAAAGATGTGATTCTATGAGGGAGGAGACAATGCTCAGCATGTACACACCCCAGCCTATGCATAGTTAGACCGACAGTATGTTAGAGTGCAATGAGGGGACCTGTAGGTTATAAAACCTGATAAATGTGGACGGTGAGGCCCAGCCTGCAGCCGCACAAATATCTTGAATGGGTATCCCACTCGACCGCGCCCACGAGGAGGCCATGCCTCTCGTAGAGTGAGCTCTGATGCCCAAGGGGCACTGAAGGCCCTTGGCTTCATAAGCCAGCGCTATAGCATCAACTATCTAGCGCGATATTCTTTGCTTTGACATAGCCAGACCTTTAGTGCGGCCGCCAAAGCATACGAACAACTGCTCTGTCTGTCTGAACAGGGCAGAGCGTTCCAAATATGCTCTGAGTGCCCTGACCGGGCAGAGTAAATTAGCGTCACTTTCGTCTGCTGGGGACGATAGCGCGGCCAAAGATATCACCTGTGCTCTGAAAGGTGTAGAGAGCACCTTAGGAATATACCCGTGTTTTGGGCTGAGGACAACCCTGCTGTCGTTAGGTCCAAACTCCAGGCAGGTAGCGCTTGATGACAGCGCGTGCAGGTCGCCCACTCTCTTGACCGAGGCGAGAGCCAGCAAGAGAGCAGTTTTGAGCGAGAGCTGTTTAAGGTGCACAGTTCGGAGGGGTTCGAACGGGGCACGCTTAAGTGCATCCAGGACCGTGGCCAGGTCCCAAATCGGCACCGAGGGGGGGCGTGGGGGATTTATCCTCCTGGCGCCCCTCAGGAAACGAACAACTAGGTAGTTTTTCCCTAGTGTGCGTCCTTCGACCGGTTCATGTGATGCCGCTATGGCAGCCACATATACTTTGAGCGTGGAGGGGGTGCGGCCTGCCTCCAACAGCTCTTGTAAGAAAACGAGCACACTCGGTACTTCGCATGTCTCAGGATTCAGGTTCCTGGATTTACACCAGTCACTGAACACCTTCCATTTCTGGGCATATAAGCGCCTCGTAGAGGGCGCTCGCGCCTCAGTGATGGTTCTCAACACTCCACTGGGGAGGTTCCCG